GCTTACTCTCAGTGGGGGCCATGGCCCCCGCCCCGTTGCTGGCGCCCCTGGTTTTACATACAGGACATGATAAAACTGTGGTCTTTACCAGCTTCTAAAGTTATTCATACGTAAACTCAGAGATCCCACCATAAAAGAACCACAAAAGAAAGTATGCATTGACTAAATGTTCAGCTCGTTCATGACTTCAGAGATTTGTTACTTTCATACTTAATGTTTCCATTAAATCCTAACTTTACTTTATTTTTGTCCACTTATGCTCAGGGTTCCTACAGCTTAACTTCAATTTAAGGCTTTTTAGGCCTTTTTAATACCATTTGAAATTAAAGACCAACTTCACAATAAATACAAATAGAAAAAAAAAGTGACAATTTTACCCAAATGTTTATTTCAACACAAAACCAGCTGCGAGAAGCATTTGGTAGAGTATTTAAAAAAATGAAATAAATTTTAGTAATTATTTTAATATTTGAGGCAAATTACAATTATCCTATTTATTTTTAAGACCTCTGAAAGATTTAAGATTTTTTTAAGGCTAATTAATGTTTTATTTTTGGATTGATGAATTCGGTGCAGAAACCCTGATGGGGTCTGACCACTGTTGGCTTACACTTTGTCTACAACAGTGATTCTCAATCCTGGTCCTCAAGGACCACTAACCCTGCATGCTTTAGTTGTTTCCCTGTTCTTCAGTAATTGCAGAAGCCTGTCAATCAGGTGTGCCGAAGCAGAGAAAAAACTCCAACATGCAGGACTGGTCCTTGAGGAGCAGGATTGAGAACCACTGGTCTACAACATCAGATGATCTTACACTAAAACTCCTGACATGAAAGGCAGAGGGGCATCAAACAGTCCATCAAATGCTAGAATCTGTAAATCAACTTATTCTTTCGAGTTGGGCAATGATTAGATTTGTTGGATTTAACATAAATAATTACACAATTTGTTTTTTTAAAAAAAGGTATTTTATTTGTTATTAAAGTCAGGTAGCTGTAAATTTTACATCTGAATTCAGGTCACCATGTACACAAGCACAGACAGCCGAACAGCAGCAACCATAGTTGTAATTGTTTTGATTCATGAACCAATTAGCTAATTTGAAAAGGAGTGGTCCGGTCTTGTCAGCATTAATTCCCATCCTCAACCTTTACTTCCTCCTGCAGAAAGTAAAACTCCTCTCACATACGCTGCTCGTTTAATCTAATCATTTTCTCTGGTCACTGTGCATTTCCACTTTACTCCCATTACAGGGGGAACCACTGCAGAGGCTTCCAGCCTCTTAGTTTCTCCCCGAACTTCACTCCCAGCAACAGCTCTTTAATTCTTCTTGGCCTTTGGTGAGTCGTATTTCCTCTTACTGGAATACCAGAGGAGCAGAGGGATTCCAATGGAGGGAAGAGTCATCACACCGAATGCAGCCCAGTCCAGCTATAGAGAAACAAAAAACAAAACAATAATTGTTGGTCACTCAAAGCTTTTACACTACAACTCAAACTGAACAGCTCAGATCTACAGCTTTTCCACAAACCAACCGTACAGACAGGCCTGCCATGAGAAATGCTGCTGAACCATAAACTGTCTCAAATTGTGATGAATAATGGTAATGCTTTCTTTTACGGTACACTTATTACCATGTAATTACAATGTAATAAAAATGTAACTACTACCTTATTACCATGTAATAAAAATGTAATAAAAATGTAACTACTACCTTATTACCATGTAATAAAAATGTAATAATGTAACTATTACCATGTAATTACAATGTAATAAAAATGTAACTATTACCATGTAATTACAATGTAATAAAAATGTAACTATTACCATGTAATTACAATGTAATAAAAATGTAACTAATCCTTATTACCATGTAATTACAATGTAATAAAAATGTAACTAATCCTTATTACCATGTAATTATAATGTAATAAGAAATGTAACTACTACCTTATTACCATGTAATTATAATGTAATAAGAAATGTAATACTTATTACCATGTAATTACAAGGTAATAAGAAATGTAATTACTACCTTTATTACCATGTAATTACATGGTAATTAGGGTAGAAAAGAAAAAAACTACTGTTAGTAAACTACCTTTATCGGGTAACTACAAACAAATTACTATTCGATAGTAACTCAACACTATACAACCAAAATAATGCAACTAAATGTTGGGGTTAGTGGTTAATTGCAATAAAATATAACTTTAAAACTGTCCAAATTACCTTGTAATTACATGGTAATAAGTATTACAATTATCACCACCTTGTAATTACATGGTAACTACTGTTAGTAAACTACCTTTATTGGGTAACTACAAACAAATTACTATTCGATAGTAACTCAACACTATACAACCAAAATAATGCAACTAAATGTTGGGGTTAGTGGTTAATTGCAATAAAATATAACTTTAAAACTGTCCAAATTACCTTGTAATTACATGGTAATAAGTATTACATTTATCACCACCTTGTAATTACATGGTAATACGTATTACATTTCTTATCACCTTGTAATTACATGGTAATAAGTATTACATTCTTATCACCTTGTAATTACATGGTAATAAGTATTACATTCTTATCACCTTGTAATTACATGGTAATGAGCATTACATTTCTTATTACCTTGTAATTACATGGTAAAGAGCATTACATTTCTTATTACCTTGTAAATTACATGGTAATAAGTATTACATTTCTTATTACCTGGTAAATTACATGGTAATAAGTAATTACATTTCTTATTACCTTGTAAATTACATGGCAATAAGTAATTACATTTCTTATTACCTTGTAATTACATGGTAATAAGTAATTACATTTTTTATTACCTTGTAATTACATGGTAATAAGTAATTACATTTCTTATTACCTTGTAATTACATGGTAATAAGTAATTACATTTTTTATTACCTTGTAATTACATGGTAATAAGTAATTACATTTCTTATTACCTTGTAATTACATGGTAATATGGGTACCATAAAAGAAAGCGTTACCACAGTAATATTGTTTGGAGATTGTTTAAGACTAATATGATGATTTTTGGGTTTCCTCTGGCTTCATAAATAACTGCAGTTACTCACGCTGCTTACAGAGTTTATGAAATTTTTATTGCGTTAAAAAAAAAACTCTTTGTGAACCCAAGGTTTGGCAGTGTTTTCAGGCATCGCCAGTTGAAAGGAGTGAGAAAACTTTAGCCCCTCCTCTGGCTAAAGGCCTATTCACAGAGCTCTCATGCTACAGAGGTTATGACATCATACACCTGGTAAATACATGACAGAGTTCACTCCTCCTCATGCTAAGGAGTAAAAAAAGAAAAAAATTTTAATCTATTGTGCGTTTAATTGATTTATTGCTTATCGCAACTGGCCAACTTAAAAATATTCAACTCAACCAAGAAATATAACAAAATCCATCTAAACTTTACAAACAGTACAACCCAGGGCTCCTAACTTTATTAGGTGAAACCACCTGTTAAAAATAAACATGGTTCATTTTAGGAGGTCATTTGAACTGAAACTGGTTGACAGATTTAACACTTACATAGTGCGGGGAGAAACGCCGGTCGAACTCCCTCTGAGCCAGGATGCCACCCTGGCCGGGGGCGCTGGTGTAGCCCACCTTCAACAAGATCAAACATGAGTTCCCCCCTGCACACAACGTTTCCATCCACAGAGATTTTCAGCTGCTCTTACCACCGCTTCTTCTCCCTCCTGGGGCTTGTACCTGACAGAGGCGGAGGTAAAGTTAAAGTAGCCGGCCTTCAGGGGACGCAGCACCACCGTGTGAGAAACGTTGCTCGCTCTGAACGTCAGTTAAACTGATAACATGGAAATATTAGCCCATGTTTATTTGAAGTAACTGTACTGTTCTCATTGTTTTGATTGCATAAAAATAAACAGAATTTAATCAGATTGTATGCACGACATGTTCTTTATATAGTCTTTTAATGTTAAAATAATGACAAATCGCTTTGATTATATAATATATCCTGATATATCGTGACCCCAGTGTTGTGATGTGCATCATATCACCAGATTCTTGTCAATACACAGCCTTATTCTTACAACGTCCATTACTGGATCAGACTGTGATTATGGTGACAACGTTTCAGTTCAAGGATACGGTGCGATTCTGTCCCATTTAACGTTCAACATTCCTGAGACGATTCCAAAGTCTTCAGCAGGAAAGGAGTCATCAGAAAGCTCCACCTCCAGGGCAGCACTATGGAGAGATGAAACATCAAGTTACATCATATCTACATCACATGACAGCTGTCCGTCACTTCATCTAGAGGGTTTTAAATAAGTAACTGATCCAAGTAGTCAACACGCTCTAACTCAAATTAAACCAGTATATAAAGCTGACTTAACTGATAGATTCCAGTTTGTTAATGTTAATAATGAATCCTCTAACACCAGAGTTAGTCATGGAGTTCCTCAGGGTTCAGTGCTTGGACCAATCCTCTTTACTTTATGCTTCTATTAGGTAAAGTTATTAAACAGCATGGGATAAATTTCCATTGTTACGCTGATGATACTCAGTTATATTTGTCCATGGAACCTGATGAATCCAACCACACACTGATTCAGATTAACATAAATAAATCATGTTTTATAATTAAATGTCTGTTTCCTGCTATAAAGAAAAATCCTCCTCCTGTCCTCCTTGTTCCTAATCAGGGTCAGGGTGGGGCTGGAACCTGTCCTCGCTGTTCACCAGAGACACCTGGACAGGTCTCCAGTCTCTATCAGGGACACAAAAGAGACAATCAACCACCTGGTCACTCTGTCACACCTG